ATAACAAATTATGGATAACACTGCGAAGAATGGGAATTTCAGAGCACTTAATTGTGCTCATGAGGAGCCTGTACATAGATCAAGAGGCAGTCGGTGGAACAGAACAAGAGGATACTGTGTGGTTTAAAATCAGAAAACGTGTACCTTGCGGTTGTATCCTTTCACTGTATTTATTCAGTCTGTATGCTAAGCAAATAATCTGAGAAGCTGGACTATATGAAGAAGAATGTGGCGTCAGGATTGGAGGAAGACTTATCAACAACCTGTGATATGCAGATGACACAACCTTGCTTGCTGACAGGGAAGAGGACTTGAAGCACTTACTGATGAAGATCAAAGACCACAGCCTGTGGGATGTATGCCATTTAAACATGGCTGCACTGTTGACACCTGCAGCCCCCACAGGCCTCTATGCTGTATACGACATGTTGGAGACTTGTCAGCGATAAGAATGAGATTAGACACGACTTGTTTTCCCAAAGCTATTGCCCTGTTACTGATTGGCTTGTTTACCTGAATTCCTTCTCCCTTGCCCGAAACTTATTATTACTCACCCTAAACCCATTGTTCTGTTAATTGCTTTACTGCTTGCTGTATTGACTATAAGATAAACTCCTGGGACTGAAGCGGGGGTCGACTCCTCAGAGTGACCCTCCTGGCCCCACTTCTCTGTAAGAGTTGTGCAGTTGGTTACTGTCTTCGCCATCCCGATTACCGTCGCCGCTGCAACAACAGCCTTCAATATGGATTACACCTCGATATAAAGAAAACAGAAATCCTCACAGATGGGCCAATAAGCAACATCATGATAAACAGAAAATATTGAAGTTGTCAAGGATTTCATTTTACTCAGATCCACAATCAATGCCCATGGAAGCAGCAGTCAAGAAATCAAACGATGTAATTGCTTTGGGCAAATTTCCTGCAACAGACCTCTTTAAAGTGTTGAAAAGCAAAGATGTCACCTTGAGGACTAAGATGTGCCTGACCCAAGCCATGGTGTTTTCAATCGCCTCATATGCATGAGAAAGCTGGACAATGAATAAGGAAGACTGAAGGAGAATTGACACCTTTGAATTATGGTGTTGGCAAAGAATATTGAATAAACCATGGACTGGCAGAAGAACGAACAAATCTGTTTTGGAAGACATACAACCAGAATGCTCCTTAGAAGCGAGAATGGCGAAACTTTATCTCACATCCTTTGAACATATTGTCAGGAGGGACCAGTCCCTGGAGAAGGACATCATGCTTGGTAAAGTAGAGGGTCAGCGAAAAAAAGGAAGAGCCTCAATGAGATGGACTGACACAGTGGCTGCAACAATGGGCTCAAGCATAACAACGATTGTGAGGATGGTGCAGGACCAGGCGGTGTTTCATTCTGTTGTACGTGGGGTCACTATGAGTCAGAACCAACTTGATGGCACCTAACAACAACGGCAAAAAATACATTTGCCTCTTCTTGTTATTTTATTTAAGTGAGATCATACCATATTTGTCCTTTTGTGATTGACGTATTTCACTCTGTATAATGTTCTCAAGGTTCATCCATGTGGTAGCATGTATCAGGACTTAATTTCTCTTTATGGCTGAGTAGTGTTCCATTGTGTATATGTACCACGTTTTGTCTATCTCTTCACCCACTGATGGACATTTAGGTTGTTTCCACCTGTTGGCTATCGTGAACAGTGCTGCAATGAACAGGAAAACCCGAGAGAGTAGAAGCCCAGCAAGTACACTTTAACACCTCAAGAAATGGTGAACAGATGTATAGAGGAGCCCTGGTGGCGCAGTGGTTAAGCACTCGGCTGCTAACCAAAAGGTCGGTGTTCGAACCCACCAGCTGCTCCATGAGAGAAAGATGTGGCAGTCTGCTTCTATAAAGATTACAGCCACGGAAACCTTCTAGAGCAGTTCCACTTTGTCCTGTAGGGTCCCTCTGAGTCCAGATCGACTTGAGGGCAACGGGTTTTTGTTTTTGTACGTGTGTAATCTGCTCTTTTGATGTCTCAAAAATGATAAGGTTTAAGACACACCCTATACGGCTATCACCTCATTAACATAACAAAGAATACCCTGTCCCAAATGGGATCACATGGACATTAGGGTTCCAGCATATGAGGGGGGCACAATTCAATCCCTAACGCCTGTGAACCTCTTTTATCTCCTTTGAGATGGGGGTCGAGACCTCGTCCTTCCCAAGTCCAAATGTGGAAGCATAGGGTGGTGGCTCTTCGCTGGGTGTCGGGATATGTGGGCAAGAATGATGGTTTCCTGGGGTATTAGAATGTACCTGCTGGGTCTACTCTCTTGGGTTTCCTGTAGAATATGTCTGAATCTACAGCAAGGGGCCTGGGGAGAAGTGGGGCTTTTGAGAAACAATCCCAGAGGATTTTGAAATACTGTTTTTCCTTCCCACCTTTGAAACCTTTGTTGAAACATGGTATAAAAACAGTAGAGTAGTGATAGCACTTGTGGAAGATGTTAGAGACAAGGAAAAGGACTTAACCAGAAACAACTGGTTTTACCTATGAAAAAGTTCACACACAAAATGTAACAATCTTTGTTGGTTATCAGGGGTGGGAGGGGTGGGGGGGAATACTAAATAGATAATAGATAAGTGGTAATCTTGGGTGAAGGGTGAGACAGTACACAATACAGGAGAAACTAGCACAACTTGTACAAGGAAAGGTCATGGAAGCCCCATAGACACATCCAAACTCCCTGAGGGACTGAATTGCTGGGCGGAGGGCTCTGGGGACCATGGTCTCAGGGAACATCTAGCTTAATTGGCATGACACAGCTTATAAAGACAGTGCTCTACATTCTACCTTGGTGAGTAGTGTCTGGGGTCATAAAAGCCTGTGAGCGGCCATCTAAGATACTCCACTGGTCTCATCCCTTCGGGAGCAAGGGAGAATGAAGAGAACAGGATACAAGGAAAAGATTAGTCCGAAGAACTAACTGTCCACAGCTACCAAGGCCTCCACCGGACTGAGTCCAGTACAGCTAGATGGTGCCCGGCTACCACCACTGACTGCTCTGACTGGGATCACAGCAGAGGGTTCTGGACAGAGCTGGAGAAGGATGTAGAGCATAATTCTAACCCACAAAAAAAGACCAGATTTACTGGCCTAAAGGAGACTGGAGAAACCCCGAGTGTGGCCCCCAGACACCCTTTTAGCTCAGGGGTGAAGTTACCTCCGAGGTTCACCATTCAGCCTGGGAGTGGACAGCCCCGTAAAACCAAATGAGACTAACAAGGTACAGGAGTCCAGTGACAAGGGCCAGAAGGCAGAAGGGGACAAGGAAGCTGGTGATAGGGATCCCAAGGTTGAGTAAGGATATTGTTAATGTGTTGTGAGATTGTTAACCATTGTCATAGGCCAACATTTGTAGTAACTGTTAAATGAGAAACTATTTTGTTCTGTAAGCCTTCATCTTAAGTGAGAATAACAGCACAATTGGAAGAGCGTAGTCAATGTCACTGAACTGTGCACGTAGAAATTTTTGAAATGGTGTATCTTTGGCTATGTATACTTTCACCAAAAAAAAGAAAGGTTGAGAAGTTAGAGGGTTGATGTGTTGTGGGGTTGTTAACCAATGTCATAAAACAACATGTGTACTTCAGTTTCATGAGAAACTATTTGTTCTGTAAGCCTTCACCTGAAGTACAATAAAAAAATTAATTAATTAATTAATTAATTAAAAAAAAAAAAAACAAGTGGTTTTAGACCAGGGCCTTAAGCTTAGAGTCTATTTAGGAAAACTAAGATTTCCTTCTGAATAAAACGGTGGTTCTCATCCGGGGGCAGTTTTGCCCCGAAGGGCCATTTGTCATTGTTTGGAGACATTTTTTGTTGTTATAACGAGGGTGGGGTGGGGTGGAGGCCAAGGATGCTGCTAAGCTTCCTGCAGTACACAAAGTCAGCACTCACAACACAGAATTCTCTCACCCAAAATGTTGATGAACCCTGGCTTAAAAATAGCCGGCGCTGATGTAGGATTCCCCGGGTGCCAGACATTGTTCTGAGTGGTTTACAGGTACGAGCTTGCTTAGCTCTCCCAGCCCTATGAAGTAGGAGCTAATATTACCCTCATTTGACAGACGGGGCAGTTAGATTCAGAGTCGATGCATTTAGCCACTGTTCTATGCTGAGCTGTCCCTCATTAAGGCTAAAAAAAAAAAAACTGCATAGTCGACTCCAACTCTTTCTTCATGGCCCCGCGTGTGTCAGAGTAGAACTGTGCTCCACAGGGTTTTCACAGCCATGTCTGCCCAAGTCCAAAGAATATTACAGAATAGGCAAGAGTGGGAAAACAGACAAGCATGCTGCCACAGCCACGTCTATCCGTAGGGTTTTCAGTGGCTGTGATCTTTCAGATATAGTTTGCCAGGCCTTCCTTTGGAGGCACCTCTGGGTGACCTTGACCCACCAGCCTTTTGGTTAGCAGCCAGGCGTGATAACCGTTTGTACCATCAGGGACTCCTCATCAACACGCTCTTCCCCTTGTTGCGATTCCAACTCATAGTGACCCTATAGGACAGAATAGAACTGTCCCATCTGGTTTCCAAGGAGCAGCTGTAGCTCTTAACGACTGCGCCACTTGGCTGTATATCAGTGTTTCAGCCTTGCGCCCAGGAAGCCACATAGCTAGAAGTTTGGAGAGGACCCTGGAAGAGTTAGAACCTCTTGTTTCCTCCTCACTCCTGTGCCTGTAGATGGAGGAGCAGGGCTGGACCTAGGGTGACGAGGGACCCAGGGAGCCATCAGTGTAGCCTTGTGTTTGCCAGGCTATGAGTGTGGCTCCACTCGTGAATTTCATGACACCAGGTGCCTCACGGGAGTGGATTGCGGGTGAACAGAACCTCTTCTTCCTTTCCTTCTCGCGTTATGGAATCACAGTTGAGCACGGGGAGGGCCTGTGGGGTGAGAGTGGGACACAGTGCAGAGGGTGCGTTTCCCTTTCCAGTCACGGGCTGTGTTGCTTCTTTACAGACGTGAAGACCACCGTGGTTTACCCTGCCACAGAGAAACACCTGCAGAAGTACCTGCGCCAGGACCTCCAGCTGATCCGAGAGACAGGAGAGGATTATAAGAATATTACCTTGCCCTACCTGGCGGCCCAGAGCCTCAGCATCCAGGTGCCTGTTCGCCCCAGGGGAGCCAGACATGGGGGACGGCGACCGTGGCCTGCTTATCCTTTTACAGGTCCCCGTGGGGGGCTCACCAAGGGTCAGGTGCTGCGGCAGGCAGTGGGGCTGCTGCAGAAACAAAGCGGACAGGTCCTGCCTTCATGTTGGTGCATCCTTGTGTGGGGGAGCACACAGATGTATTTTTTTTTTTTTAAAACCCACTGCCATCGAGTTGATTCCAACTCATAGCGACCCTATAGGACAGAGTAGAAGTGCCCCATAGGGTGTCCAAGGAGCGGCTGGTGGGTTCAAACCACTGGCCTTTCAGTTAGCAGTTGAGTGCTTTAACCACTGTGCTACCAGGGCACCTACAGTTGTACAAGTAACCATATAATATGTGAGACGTCATTGGTGGGGAGAAATGTGAACAAGATAAGTGGACAAAGTCCTGGGTAGGGTGTCTGCTGTTTGGTACAGGGTGGCCAGAGGCTTCCTGGATGATGGGAATTGACCTTGGCCTTGGGCCCCACCCCAGGAGGCTCTCTGAGGGATCTCGAGCAATTCAGTTGGTAGTAAGAATTTGTATCCAATGTTGTTGGCAGTCAGTCGGCCCCAAGTCATGGCAGCCCTAGGCACAGTGGATCTGCCCAGTCCTGCACCATCCCCACAGTAGGTTACAGATTGGACCATTGTGATCCACAGAATGTTCATTCGTTGATTTTTGGAAGTAGATCCCCAGGCCTTTCTGCCTGTTCCATCTTAGTCTGGAAGCTGTGAGTGGTCTCCGGATGACTGTGGCCTCTCTGTGGGTCTGAGAGTGGGTAAGGACCAGTGTGGGTTAGGCCCACCCAGTCCAGACATTTCTGCCTGCAGCCGGCCAGCCTCCAGGAGCTGAGTCTCAGTGAAACATCCTCCCCCTTGCCATTCATTCCACAGAGAGGTGGATCCTACTGCCCTGGGGGCTTGTGCCCATCACCCATCACCTTCTCCCAGGGCCACGTGTGCAGGGTCTTCACAGTGTCTTCAGGCAGCTGCAAGGCCATTTAGCCAAGAGATCCTGACTTCTCCTTGGGCCCAGAGCCTCTGCCTGGAACTGGCCGAGTGTGGATCCTCAGAATTCAATGTGACTGATGCTTATTCATGAGTCTTTTGTTGCTCCCTCACTGGCATTCACTGTCTCTGTCTCTTTATTGCTCACTCTTGTTCTCTTTGAGCCTTTCTCACTGACTCTCCCCAAGACTCATGTTACCGTGGCATAGTGTTCTCAGAGGGAATCGCGGCCGTTTCTCACTGGCCCCGGACAAAGGAGGGTGCTCTGGGTGTGAGGGCACTGCAAGGTGAGTTGTACTTGGGAGGAGTGAGGAAAACGAGGTTGACAGGGCCTGCGGGAATGCTTGACAGCCCGCCCTCCCAGCGGGTGAGACCCAGCCAAGGGGTTAGCCATGGTCCCCTGTGCGGTGTTGGCACGAGGTTCCTCTGGCTTAGGGGACGGTGGTGGTTCAGTGGTAGAATGCTCGCCTTCCACGTGGGAGACCTGGGTTCGATACTTGGCCGGTGCACCCCATGCGCAGCCACCACCCATCTGTCAGTGGAGTGCTGCGTGTGTCTATGATGCTGAGCAGGTTTCAGCAGAGCTTCCAGACTCAGATGGACTAGGAAGAAAGGCCTGGCCATCTATTTCCAAAAATCAGCCCGTGAAAACTCAGTGGATTTGTAACCAATCATAGGGATGACGCAGGATCGGGCAGCATTTCGTTCTGTTGTCCATGGGGTCACCATTAGTCAGGGCCAACTCAACAGCAGCTAACAACCACCACCATTTTTTTCTAGCCCTTGTTCTGTCCTCTGTGTGGCCAAAGGACGTATGACTCTGTCTTCCTAAATAGCTTCTGCTGTTCAGAGGCCTAGAGGAATCTTCTAGAGTATAGGCTGTGTTGTGCCGGTTACATGTATATGGGATCCAAGAGAGGAAGCCTTTAGTATATAGTTGGTGTGAGTTGTACATATACCTTATTATACACCATTCCACTTAGGAAATAATACAACAGTCATCCCACTACTCTTACAAGTGCTGACTGACATGAGCATTCACACATTCTCTCTTGGCTATTTCTATCAAGTTTACAAGCACTCTGCTCAGCCGGCAGCAGTTCTGATGTTTATTGAGCAGCTGCTGTGTTTCAGGCCCTGTGCTAGGCTCCAGACAATCATCAAGATAAAGGGAACACTGAGTGTCCTCACAGTCTATAGGGAAGGTGGACATGTGGGCTGACAGTCATTCACCAGGGAGGGAACAAGGATGGTGGAGTGCCTTACATAGAAGACAATGCATTCAGTTTGGTGCTTATTAAGCAGTTCCCATATGCCAGGAGCCCTGGTGGCGCAGTGGTTAGAAGCTACAAAGAGCTACCCAAAAGGTCGACAGTTTGAATCCACCAGGCCCTCTTTGGAAACCCTGTCGGGGGCAGTTCTACTCTGTCCTATAGGGTCACTAAGAGTCAGAATCGACTCGACTGCAACAGTTTTTTGTTTTGTTTGCTATGTAGGGAGAACAGCGTAAGCCTCTCCGTGTGCCGGCCCGATTGAATTTTTCTCAACAGCCCTTTAAGGGCCGGGACTCAAGGCAGGCAGCCTGGGCCTGGTGTCTGTGCTGTCAGCCGGCTTCGCTACTGGGCTGCTCAGATGTGAAGTCCTTGTGACTTTCAAGTGAAAATGCCCGAAAGGCAGCAGGCTGCACGGCTGTGGAGCGCTGGCGTCATCAGAGCAGGCAGTGGCTTTGGGTTCTCGTTCTTCCACCTGCAGGCAGTGGGGCCATGTCCTTACCCTCTACCCCCAGTTTCCTAGTCTGGAAAACGACAGTGACAGCATCTCCCTCGTAGGGTGGGTGTGGAAGGTGGGAGAGGTTATTAGAGATCAGACCTACTGCTGTTGCTCAGAACAGGGGCCCAAGGGGAAGGGCAGGGAGTGTGTGCAGAGCTAGGGTGTCTGGGGGGGTGTGGACGTCTAGAAGGCATGGACGTCTGGCGGGTGTGGGTGTCTGGGGGGCGTGGATGTCTGGGGGGCGTGGACGTCTGGGGGGTGGGGACGTCTGGGGGCGGGGACATCTGGGGGGCGGGGACGAGGTGGCCCCCCAGGAGAGGGAGCAGAAATAGAGACCCAAGCGGAGAGTGCAAGGAGACCAGGGGGGTAGAGAGCCCGGTGGGGGGTTGTCAGCGTCACCAACTGCAAGGAGGTCACGACCAGAGATTCTGGAGGTGTGGTCAGCGCCCCCACAGCCCTGTCACCAGCAGGGCATGCAGGCTCTCACAGGCTCGCTGTCACATGGTGCCCCTCCCGCTCGCCGCCCTCTGTGGCTGTTAGGAATCTTGGTCCCTTGTTCTCCCTTCCTCATCTGGGCTTCCGGTTTTCAGACTTCCCATGGATCAGATCTTCTTCCTCTCCCAGACACCTCCTCTTCCCAGCAGGCAGGACGCAGGGGCACGGATGTGGCTCTGGAGCCAGACTCACTGGGTTTGCGTCCAGCACGTTGTGTGGACTGTCTCGTACCTGCTTTTCCCTCACCTGCAAACTGGAATTCTAGAACAGGATTGTCGCAAGCGTTCATGCACAGACGGGACTCAGAACAGTGCCTGGCAGGAGAGCAATACTGCTCTGTCATCGTCTCTTTCCTGGTGACCACAAGCCTCCCAGACTAGCACCACCCGCTTTCTGCCTTCCCCGGTCGGTCTTGCCTCCTCCTGGAAACCGTCATCCCACAAACTGTCCTCATTCTGGAGCTTTCCAGGCACCTTCCTCTGCCCTCAAGGTGCCTCCTCCGTGCTGGGCTCTGTGCTGGGTGCTGTCACGTGCATTTTCTCACCTAAAATCCTCGCCACAACTCTCATATGTAGATACTCCAGCCCTCTTTTACAAAGGAGGAAACCACAGCTTAGAGAGATGGAAGAGTTTACCCAACGGACAGCTAGTTAGTGGTAGAGCTGGGATGGGAGATGAAACCAAGTCTCGTTGGGCTCCATCTTAGTTATGATTCTCTAGAGAAACAGAACCAGCGAGAGATAATATACATAGTCCCTGACTTAACGATGGGGTTCCCTTCTGACAACTCCGTCGTAAGTTGGTTCTGATGTAAGTTGAGTACCTCAATTTTTTATTTTTTTTTAGTTTTCATTATTATAGCTTTTTATTATTATCTTTATAAATCTGATCTTTGTTTGTCTTTGGGGGTTGGCAAGATTACATGTAAACTTACAAATATATTTTAATATCTACGTACACAAAGCATAAAAATTGACTCCACCAATGGAGAGTTGGACGACCTTGGCATTTTGTCAGTTACAGTAAAGCTCCACTTGTGGAAGGTTCTGGATCATCTGGATTATCCCTGGGAATGGGGATGGGGTTTCTAGTCAGAAATCAGTGACAGTTGTCTGTGTGGCCCTTTTCTTTTTTCTTCCTACGTTTTGTGGTGACATCTTACTGCTTCCCAAATCTGCCTGTCGACTTTAGCAAAGCAATCAGCGTTTGGGTCCATATTTTCAAGCAACTGAAGCCCCTGATTTAGTTTAGAAAAAACTTCAGCCAATCCTTTCACTGTGAAATTTTTTTGACAGCTTCTTTCCTTCTTCTTCCTCATTATTTATTTCTTCTTCGGCATTTTTTTCTTCTTCAAAATCCATCACGTCCTGACCTGTCGGTTCCCCTTGTTTGTGATCTGTGAGCTGTTCCACATCAGTGACGTCAAGTTCTAAATTCAGCATTCTTGCCATATGGACGATTTTTCCACCGATCTCTTCCATCATATTATCCTGATCACATGCTTGGAGCGTGTTCGCATAACTCAGCAATTTTTTCCATGTTCTCTGCATGCATTTTCGTGTAGCTTCCTCCCAGGAAAATGCCGCGTTCTGGATACACTGACGGTTGTAAGTGTGGTTCATCGTAACTCAAATACGTCATAAGCTGAGGACTATCTGTATATGTGTATAGAGAGAGGGAGAGTGATTGATGGAATTTAAGGAATTGGCTCGTCCAGTTGTCAGGCTGGCAAGCCCAAAATCTGTAGGTTAGGCGACAGGCTGGAGGCTCCTGCAGGCTCGTGCCCATGACCCACAGGTCGGGGGAGAGGCTGGAGGCTCCTGCAGGCCCGTGTCCGTGACCCACAGGTCGGGGGAGAGGCTGGAGGCTCCCGCAGGCCCGTGTCCGTGACCCACAGGT